ATCCAATCCACCTAAACCATATTTTGAGAAAAATGATGTTTAAAGTAAAATTCTCTACGGGATGAACATAGAATATATAGCGAGTATTTATGATTTTCACTATTAATATCCTTCTAAATTGTTGGATCGTTTCAGCAGAATATAATTTTGGACTGTAACATATCGAAAAGCTACTCAAGTCATTTCTGGTAGATTTGTGGATTGGATCATTTCTGCATAACTACGTCCAATTGTTGCACAAAATGTTGTTAAATCGTCCCTGAATCTTGTTTACACTTTTTCATTGACAGTTATCATTCTATCCCTCTCCACTTCATTGGTATACATGTACTGAGTATGTAGTAAGGCAGGCCCACCGACCTTGATATTAAACTATAGTTCAGTGGGCAGGCCTGCACAACTGAGATTTTCAAGGTGCCAGTTCAAAAAACCGTAGATGATGTACGAGGGCCAAGAATGTATTTTTTTTTTGGCGGGTGGGGGTGTAGGCGAAGAACTTTTGCAGGTGCAACGCTCAAATACCTTGATCTTGAGGCTCAAAAAAAATTATTTATTAATCATTTCAAACAAAATGTCTACCAGTGGGTTATGACAAGTTATGATATGGCAACCCTGTAGGCCTGGTGATTTGACAGTGTCAATGAAATAGATAGCTATATAGATTACTTATCCATGTTTTTCAAAATAGACATAAGATCATGCCTCAAAGTAAAAATGTAGGTAATTATTATTTTTACTATATTCAAAGACTGAAAATTGGTTTGTAAACACATTTTGTTAAACTAATTCTGATTAATGAGCAGTTGCGAGGCAATATGGTCACTCGCAAACGACCCGCTTTGAGCACTCTATATAACTATGTATGTATCATTGTCCCTGTCAATAAGGTATTTTTCGCAGCATAAACCAACATGAACGTTTATGAGAGATTATGTTATTTAGTCATGATCTTCCATTTTGGCCGACAATTGGCCGACAAGAAGGACAAGCATTGGGATTCTCATCTTTCAATACGGCACGTGTTGAGATGACTATCTTCGTTCCACAGAATGCGATTCGTATGTAATGTCTCTCTCTATTCAATTCGTTACGTGTTGAGTACGCACATAAGAATTCCTGTCCAGAGGGGAGATTGTAATGATGTCACTGTTTTGCATGCTCAAGCATGATGTCATCCACAGACGGTTATGTTAGTTAATGTGTTTGACAAATGACTAGAGACGATATACGATAAAAGATGGGTTCAATTTTAAATTAAATAAGATTGAAATTAAAGTGGAGGAAAGTGACGAAATTATTTAACAATTAAAATATAGTAAATATAAAGATTTTAATTGAAATAGCACAAGTAAAATTTGTTGTAATTTTTAGACAATATATTTAGGGTACATTAAATATTAATATAAAATAATTAAACTGTTTTTCTTAGGAAAAATCGAGGGATTTACACACACTCGAGCAATTGAAATAATAAAAAATTGTTACTGCAACTGACTGCCCACTTTCAAAACAGCATTGATTTTTCATTTTCGCGCCAACATATACTATATGTGGTGGGGGTATAGACGAACAAGATCGAACAGCATAATTCGTTTATGACTCGAAAAATACCTTAATGACAACATGCCCATAGTGTAGTCATATCTAAACTGTCAGTTCCCACTTGTTAGAATTTTGGGTCGTTGGAATTCCTAATAGTTTATTTTCAAAAGTTATTTTTTTAAATAAAATAAACATTTTTGATTTTAAATATTTACTTCAAAGTTTTATTTAGTAAAGTTTTTTTTATGTTTTACCACATATGATTTAATATCTATTAAGGCAATTAATAAATGCAATTATGTTACTGAAAAAGTATAGTTTGACGTAGGCGGGCCAATTATTTGCCCTTCATCAACCAACATAATGCTGGGCCACTATCCCAATGCCAAAAGTATATACAGTCTGTTCGCTATACTTACGCGGGGTTCGGATTAAAATTTTTATGAGTATTTCCAGGTAAGTACCTGAAAGTTTGACCTGTTCTTTGGGGAAATATCAACTGGTTAAATGAAATGAAAAATAATGTACAACTTTTTAATTAAGTAATAATGGAGAATCTTTTGTATAATTGAGAGCAGAATTAAACTTCTTCATTAATGGAGTCTAATGTGGCTATTATAAACCTAATAATAATTTTATATTACACTTCACACAGAAAATATGGTCTATGTATAATAAGAGGGTTATTTAGCTCAAACAAAATATTTTCTAACATAAAAATTTGTTCCATGTAGAGAATTTCAAATGAAAAATAAATAAAAAAATTGAACTTGCCAACAAAAATTAAAATCAGTCATTATCATCTAAAATATCATAATCGTCATCATCATCACTGTCATCACCATTAATTGTTATTATGATTGGACTTATTTCGTTTATTTTATTTTCACGAGTCCACCAATCTTCCATTATTTTCTCGCACTTGGATATACAGTTCCACCACACTTCTGGAGTTGCAATTGAAAGTGCTTTTCGCCAAGTTTCCCGAACTGCGTCGTCACCATAACCATTAGGCCCAATATGGTTGTCATAATATTGTTTTGCTATTCCCCATATACAGGGTGTAACTAAATAAGTGTAAAACATTTAAGGGGGTGATTCTTCATCAAAAAAAAGATAGGATCTTTCATATAAAGAAACTTCATTGGAGCATCCCTTGTTAAGATACAGCCCCTTAAAGGGGGTACATAAAATTTGTTTAACAATTTTTTTCACAAGCACTAAACAAATTACAATATTGAAATTAACCTGTAATTTTCTACTACCAAAAAGACAGTCATTTATTTGGTTTACCCCATGGTTGTAAGGGGTGGAAAACGCAACCCCTAAAATTCCGTTCCAACGTAAATTTTTGTCTTATTATTTGTTTACCATTTAAAATTTTATTTCCGATAGCCTGTTTCATTCTAAACAAAAAATATTTCTTGAATTTTTTGCCCAAAATAAACCAGTTCGCAGCAAAAAATTATTTTACGAACAAGATAGATATCGCCATAAAATGTAAATACGAAACTAATTTATCTAGTAGGCCGCTATTAGCGATACTAACAATTACATTGAAATCAAGCTGTCAGTTTGTAAATTTTTGAAATTGAAGTAATACTAATTGTGTATTGTTGTTCTGTTTTCAACCCCTTACAACCATGGGGTAAACCAAATAAATTACTGGCTAAGTGTCTTTTTGGTAGTAGAAAATGTCAGGTTAATTTCAATATTGTAAATTGTTTAGTGCTTGTGAAAAAAATTGTTAAACAAATTTTATGTACCCCCTTTAAGGGGCTGTATCTTAACGAGGGATGCTCCAATGAAAAGATCCTATCTTTTTTTCGATGAGGAATCACCCCCTTAAATGTTTTACACTTATTTAGTTACACCCTGTATATTCGATGGGATTAAACTAACAATGATACGGTGGCAGACGTAAAACTTGATGACCGTAACTTTCAATAATTTGATCCACAACAAAGGTTTTTGGTTTTGCGTGTCTATTTGCCATGCGTAATAATTCTGATTTTATTATATATTGAGGAAATGGTATATGTTCCTTTGTCAACCATTCTTTAATTTTATCAACAGTCCAAGAATTCGTTGGACTTTTGTTTAATACTTCAGAATGGTAAGGTGCATTATCTAAAATAATTACGCTGGGCTCACTTAAACCTGGGAGAAGTTTTTCATGCAACCATTTTACAAATATTTCTGTGTTCATATTATCGTGATAGTCACTGGATTTTGATTTAGAGGAAAATATTATCAGCACCTTCTATAAAATCCGATTTCCCTCCTGTATGTAAAATTATGTGTCGCTTTTCTTCTCCATCGGTATGTTTGATGGACTTTACGTTATCATCTTGCCATATTCTCTTGGTTGCACCCCTAGATAATATATGTTTCGTCTAAATATATAAAATTCGCCCCTTCTTCTTTAAATTTAAAATATTTTCTTAGAAAGTTAATTCTCTTGTGCACGACAGAACTTCTTTCACAAAGGGCCTTTCTGTTATCCTCCTCTTGAAATTTGAAACCCAAGTTATGTATCACTTGCCATAGAGTTGTTCTGCCAATGTCGTCAAATTTTCTATCTATTAATTCCGATTTAAGGTCACATGTTCCTTGTTGGCCCTCATTCGATAAATGGTATCACGAATTTCAAATTTCTTTTCATCTGGAATATCTTTCGTTTTCAATGATGGGCAAGTTTTGTGGTGATCTTCTTTCGGCAGTTCACTATTGTGATTTTGTAATACTCCTCTTAATTTGGTTTCACTAATTCCTACAGCATCGCATACGCGTTGTTTTACAGACATTACCGATTTTAAAGAACAGCCATTTTCTTTTTCATCCGTAAAATACTTATGTACACTACAAATTATACTATCTACATCTAACACACGTCTAGGCATTTTTAAAATTTCCACTAAATTTACAATATACATACAATGTCAACACTTGCAAAGAATCAATTCAACTGCAATATTTGTAACAAATTTAGTACCTACCCTAATGTTATTTTAATTTAAATCTGACCATTAGAGCAATTTTACCTAATTTCTTGGGAAGAGGCTTATTGGAACTGGTTGTCAATGACTAATTTGCATAATTTTGTTAATCCGAAACCCGCATAAGTATAGCGAACAGACTGTATTTTTTATTTTAATCGTCGCATTCATTTTTCCTTCAATTACAGCAAAAGGCCAGCAATATTCGGGCAATTCATTGTTTGTTGGGAAGTTCTTTAAATAGGTCTATTTTTCCATTTCCTTTAAAATTAACTCATTGTTTAATACAACTACATAGGTAGGTACCTATATATTTCAAAGTTTGACTCACTGCGGCTAGGTTTAAGGAAATCCCCATCTTTTACATGGTTGACCGGACTACGTAGGACGTCCCTCCACTCTGACGTTTTATAATTAGGTTTTAACAGATCATATTGTTTATTATTTATTCATACTTAGCGAATTATCAACATCAACTTTAACCTCTCTTTATGAATCCGTTTCATCGTACTTTCTTATCGGTTCGGTAACCAGTCACAAAAGATTTTTTTATGTAAAAGTTGTGCACAATGTTTAATAAATTGCTTCTGTTGTTGTTAATAAATGGCCTCGTCGCGGCGGACCCTGCAACCGGGGTTTCTAGGTTTAAAAGACAAGTCAAAGTTAGCATTGAGGAAGATAACAGGATAATAGAAGTGTTTAATAATTGCAGATGTGTTTTTCATTACCAGTGTAGCTCTAATAATACCGTCGTTACGAACGGTAAAAATTTAATTGATATAAGGTAAGATGATATTTCAAAATTATATAGGTAATATCTAATAAAAATTACGTATGTGGGTACTTGACTAAAATATCTACCATTCCCAAAATAATACCATGGTTTCAACAGTTTTAATTGTTTAGGTAGTGTTTTTTCTTTTCCGGAAACAGACACTACTTTTTTATTTTTTCCTCCTTCAACTTGCTAATTTTGTAGTAGCAGTAGTCAATAAATTAAATATGATAAAACATCTAGTTAGCCTTGGAAAAAACGTCAGTTTATAGGTTAAATATACCAATAAATAAATAAAAAACACGCTTAAATAGAAAAGCAAACTAAAAAGTAGAAAATAATTTTCAATAAATTTAAATTAAAAATAGTGTGATTAACAAAAAATTTCTTTTATTGTAGAAAAGCGTGGGCTTTTTTTTAAGATATTTCCATAATGACTACTTCTACTAATATCTGTCATTAAAATATCAAGCACCCCAAGCAAATCTTTGCCCCAAGCTATTCTACAATAAAAGAAATATCTTTGTTAATCTACTTTTTAGTTATTTTGTAATAACTATTCTACAAACTTTTTTATTCAATTTTATTTGAACAAATATACCTCCGTTCATATATATATTCATCCATATATTCCAGTGGCGGCTCGTGGGCACTAGCGGCAGTGGGGCACACACTGGAAAGGAATCCCGGGATTCGTTTTTCCCTTAGGAAAACAAGTTCTCCGCTTAATGAAAATTAAATATATTTCAAAACAATCAGTTGGGGCAATAACGATTTCTGAATGTGACTACAGGGAGCTAAATGTGACCACTCAAAATGCATTTAACTATGTATGTGGCTATTTAATCAAAAAATCATTACATATCCACTCTTGCGAAATTTGCGTAAATTTCTCAGAAGACTGCAATTTACTTAACAATTCTAACTTGTTAACGCATTTTAAAGCATACGACTCTAAAGAAAAGGTGTTTGGCAATTTAAAATCTCCCAGCGAAAAATTTCTCTTTTATATTTTCAAATTAGAAAAAATATTTATATTTCTATTTGATAGTTTGTCAACTAAACCTGGAATTTCCAACGCATACCTTTTTGAGATGAGCAAAATAGAATTTGGCCATCATTGCCAACAATTTGCGAAAATGTACACCATTAAATTATTTAAAAGACTCAGAATTTTTTATACTCTTAAATATGCAAACAGAGATTTGAAATCCTCGAAAAAGTCAGACAAAACCAAAAGAAAAATTAAAATTTTGTCCCATTTATAAATATTATTGATATTTTTGACGGCTTTATAAAACGCATTCGTATTTTGGGAAACACTTAAAATTCTTACGATTTCGGTGATTTCGCTAAAATCTTCCTTAATATTAGACAATTTCGCCGATATCCCCATTTTATATAACCTCTGTGATATCGGCGGAATCGTATAATAATATTTCTAAAAAAAGTTACCACAGGGATAACTGACTAACTGCATCTATAGCGGACTTGAACTGGGTTTTTATTGGGACTAACCATAATAATGAGTACATGGATGAATAGAGGATTGAAAGAGATGATAAAAAATGCACCCCCTCACTTCAACCCCTACCATTGAATAAAATTTGATAAAAAGTTAGGGATAACATACGTTATCGGATTTGGAAAATGGCTAATCCCGAAGGTCCTGATCAGGGTAGTAAGAAAAACTATTTAAATTATTACATTGTCATCGGCCCTTGATAAGTGCACAAAATTTCAAATCAATCAAACGTTTTGGAGGGGGTAAAAATTACGTTCAAAGATTCCGTTACATAGATACATACATACCAAGCTAATAAAAGCGTGTTAAAAATGGAAGGGGAACGTGCTGGAGTTTTAGCTATTTTGAAAGTTTTGAATTACGGGTACGCTCTATATAATTTCCGATTGATTAAAATAATTCTTTATATTCACAAAATCTCATATACATGTTTTAATAAACCAACAATTTAGGGCTATAAATATTCTTAAAAAAATATACAATCTAGAAAAAATGCTTTAAAAAGAAAAATTATTAAGTAGGTAGGTCAAAAAAAAAAATGATTAAAAACAAAAATCCTATGACAGGTAAAAACAGTATAAAATGCATCCAAGAAAATTCTTGGGGAAAACATCTAGAGAACAATCCCAAAATTAAAAAGAAATTTTCAGACAAATCTCCAGAGAACCCTTCAAGAATAATATAAAAAAGAGACCTTTATAAATATAAAAAAACGGAGCATCGTGAAACGGCAGCAACCTCTCCACTTAACCCCCTCGAAACCGGTAACAAGGGAGCGTTCGATTATTACGTAAGTAGGCAGCTTAGGAGGCGGGAGTTCAAGTTTTTTGTTTTTGCAGATAGAAGAAGTGGAGGGTAAATTCTAAATCGTACGTAAGAAAAAATTATAAAAATAATTTAATTTTTTCAAATTAATTCTTAGGTCTTATCATTTGGGGGTAGTGGAAGTTAATAAATTCCATATTTTTTCTTATACAGGGGAGTTGATGGTCTAATATCATAAACGACCCCAATTAAATTTTTAAAACAATTGTTTAAAATCAAAAATTTTATTGTTTTCGCAACACACGACATTCTACGAAAGTGAGATACCTGTTTAAAAAAAAGCAGTTAATTTTGTATGTTTTATCAAATATTTCCAATACAAACAATTTTAGGGAAATAATTTAAACAATAAAAAATTTTCTTTTTTAATTAAAGATAACAGAAGTATAAAAATAAATAACCCGCTATAAAGTACACCCAGTTTCACCGACTATGTCCAAAATCTAATCAGCTTTTCAGAGGCTCCTAAAACCCTATGTTCCCAATCTCATCGAAATAAGTTGGAAAGTTTGGGCTGTATCGAGCTAAGAAAAAAACGTCACACACATGTACGTAAAACCCAACATTTCTAAAAAAAATATTTTTCTGGTTCTTAGGATCCCAAAACGTAAATATCTGGTGTTATCTCACATATTTTGGAGTGATTGTGATAAATACGGTGAGGAGGTCAATAGCATCAGAATAATATCTCTAGTTGCTCAAGACAAATTCCCTTTTTTTTATATATAGGTATTTTGATGTCAAAAAATATTTTGATCTTTTGTATAAGTGTATAAGTGTAAGCTTCTAAATAACTTCGGTTGACCAAGAGTAAAAGACATTTTCTACAATTCCTTATACAGTGTGGAAAAGCCAAATGGAAAAATTCATTATTTCGATTACTGTACATATTTATAGAAAATCCCGAAACACGTCAAATTTAAATTATAAATTGACATTCTTTAATGTGAAAATGTGATCCCTACTTTCAACCCCATTTGAGTAACAGTTACAACCCCTAATTTTTTAAATGGGAAGTATAGGCTTGTGATATATCGTTTGAAAGGTCTCTTCATTCTCTATCCAAAAATGTTTTTTTTTATGTTAATTTTTGCAATAAATTTAAAAACAATAACATTTTTGGATAGAAAATGAAAAGACCTTTCAAACGATATAACACAAGCCTATACTTCCCATTTAAAAAATTAGGGGTTGTAACTGTTATTCAAGGTAGGGTTCACATTTTCACTTTAAAGAATGTTTATTTATAATTTAAATTTGACGTGTTTCGGGATTTTCTATAAATATGTACAGTAATCGAAATAATGAATTTATACCATTTGGCTTTTCCACACTGTATATACATATTCCTTATATGGTAATCATAGGCGCCGGAACTTAAAAATTGCTTTGGGTGCCCGGCCTCTATGCGGGAAATGTGATCTCCCCCCTCTACACCCCATTTAGGGTCATCACTGGCTTTTTAAAAGCACTTTAAAAGCCATTTTCAAGCGTTGAATTTATTAAAATTTTCTTGAAAACAAAAGGTATGTCATATATGTTGAATTACTGGCGTTTTGAGGATTGAAGCGGCATACGGAGTATCAACAATCGGTATGCTGAAGGCTCCCACCTAAATTGAGATATCTTGCATCTGGCAATAATATATACTCGGTGCAGCCATCACTGGTATACAGTGGTGCTGCGGTGCAAGATTACCAATGAAATAAGTAGAAACACACTATAAAACATTTATTAACTATCATGAATTTAGAAGAAGATTTTTGATGATTTAGTACATATACAGGGTGGCCATTTGAAAACGAAACAGAGCCCATTTTGGACACAACAGGTCATTTACGAAAAAACGCTCGGACCCGTCAATTTTTGATTTTAGTGGGAATTTTTTTTGCCAGTTTTAGCCCCTGAATGGAAACCCTCTAGCGGAGGAGAAACTTACCTCTAAAATCTTAAATGGAAAGAGGGGTCGAATGATATCTTATTTTGAAGGTATTTTTACCTAGATTATAACCCTCGAGTTTTAAATGGGTACTGTCTTCCTAGCCATGATCTTTTAACGATTTTTATTTTTTTTAACTGCTTACCAGTTACTAGAGTAAATGCTGAAAATGCTGACCCTTGGCCTCCATGCAATAATAGAGGTTTTGTTCAAAACGCTCTTGGACATTTTGAAGCAATTTGGGGATATTCATCAGTTATCCGTTGTCGCAGATTTTCCAGTGATGTTGGCTGGGTGGCATAAATTTTGTGTTGCAAGTGGCCCCATAAAAAAATCTAACGGGCTTAGATCCGGAGATCCTGTAGGCTACTCAATACTTCCTATTATTTCGATCCATTGACCTACAAACGTTTGATCCAAATACTGACGACCAGTCAGTGCAAAATGGGGTGCCGCACGGTCTTGCTGTAATATAAAATTGTTTGCTATATACTGATCGTCATTCTCAATCAACTCTAATAATGCTGGATTAATGTCGTTTTCTAATAATTCCAGATACATTTCTGCGGTTACAGTTCTAGGTAAAAAAAGGGGCCAATTATACGGTTATCAAAAATGCCAGTCCAAACATTCAGTTTTTCCTGAGGTTGCGTATGCACTTCATGAAATATTCTGGGATTTGGATCGAACCTATAACGACAGTTGTGACGATTTACCGTA